GAAGAAGGCGTTGCGGGCGTCCACCATGTGTGCCTTTGTCAAGTGTCAACTGATTCAAGCGTGGATTTGAGAGCGCCAAGTCCCACTAAGTGATGCTCTTTGTACCAGGTTTCACATCACATCCAATGTACCAGAGCCCGAAGGGGACACGTGCTCCCTTGCGGAAAATGCGCAGATCGTTGGCAGACAAGAGTGAGTTGCTTTCCGATTTGTTGGACAGGTACCAGCAAATCTTCCCTGTATGGACGATTGCAGTAGATTGCTCAAGGGAACCTCCACGGACGGACGACTTCAGACACAGTTAGCTTGGTGGCATTGCATGCATGAACTTTGGTCTTAGAGTGTCCAACATATCCCACAAATTGCTTACATTATGTAATCACAATTTTTGTTCAATGGTACCTTGGTCATGTGCCTGTGCAGATTCTGGCTTGGCTGAGGTGACAAAGAACCAGAGGCAGCTCGCGACTGCCACAAGTGACAACAGAATAAACCTTTGGTTCCAGCCCCAGAATCTAGCTCCAGTGGCTCTGTGCTCATGTGCGCTGCTACCCTGAGGTGCCTGGTAACGCATCAATTGTTGGCTCCTTTGATTGGACATGCTGACACTGTCGTGGCCTGAGAGATACTGCGATTACTGCGATGGTGCTCCCCCTGGATGCCCATGGAGGGCCATTTAATTTAGGATTTTTTTGTTTTTTTAAAGTTTTTTTTGTTTTTCGTGGCTTCTGTGGCTTCTGTGGCTTCATGGCTTTCGTGGCTTCTGTGGCTTTCGTGGCTTCTGTGGCTTCTGTGGCTTTCGTGGCTTCTGTGGCTTTTGTGGCTTTTGGCTTTCGTGGCTTCTGTGGCTTTTGTGGCTTTTGGCTTTTGTGGCTGTTTGCTACTAGTCCATCTTTGGAGGAATGTGATGTCCGAGGCGCAGCTACCAGATGTTTTCATCCAAACGATTCCTTTATCCTTTGTCATGACACGCAAAACACAACATGTCTTTAATTAAGGTTTTCACTATGAAGGTGTCTAATGGCACATGACGACCTGCAAAAACCACAATGGTGGATGCTCACGGCCACTTCAACCTCGCCCAGCTTTCAACGTAGCTTCTTTCCGCACTATTCTCCATTTGTCGATATATCTGTCTACCTATCCATCTATTTGTCTATATCTATCCATCTATATCTATCTGTCTGTCTGTCTATCTGCCTGTTGTGTTGTGCTTTTCCTTTTATTCGCTTTGCAGAGAAGAACCCAAACAAGGAAGCAAGCAAGCAAGCAAGCAAGCAAGACAGCAAGCAAGCAAGCAAGAGCTGCTCACCTTTGGATCTGGTGTGCTGCTGGGGGGGGCGCTGCGCCCCCCCCCAACCCCCCCGCGCCACGAAATCTGCACTTCATCTCCGCCACCCGCGCCTGCCACGAAACCTTTCTCTTTGCTTTTCTGCTAACTGCACCAAACTGTTGTGATAGTCTGACACCTACACTATTCCAATGCAAATCTGTCTACCTATCCATTTGTCTGTCTATATCTATTTATCTATCTCTCGATCTATCTATCTTTCTATCTTTCTTTCTTTCCTATCTATCTATCTATCTATCTGCACTTCAACATCCACAAAGTCCTTCACCTGCCACGAAATCGAAATCGGCACTTCAAGGCCCGCAAAGCACTGCACCTGCCACGAAATCTGCATTTCAAGGTCTACAAAGTCCTGCGCCTGCCACGAAATCTGCACTCCAAGTCCCACAAAGTCCTGCACCTGCCACCAAATCTGCACTTCAACATCCACAAAGTCCTGCGCCTGCCACGAAATCCGCACTTCAACATCGACAAAGTCCTGCGCCTGCCACGAAATGTGCATTTCAAGGTCCCCAAAGTAGCATTTCAAGGTCCACAAAGTACTGCCCCTGCCACGAAACACGAAAAAGAAAAAAAATCCCAAAACAAAATAAAAAAATCCTAAATTAAATCCGAGCCCGATGCCCATGGTCATCATGACTTACACAAGTCAGGTACCTTCCCGCGCCAAAACGAACCTGTCCATTCACTATGGTTTAGTCGTTGGTCTTTGTTGGTATTCGTAGTCTACATTATGTCACAACGGTGTGTTTTGCACCCTCTTCAAGTGGCAGAAGCTGCGGACGCTTTGCCAAAGAATTCTTTTTGCAGCAGGGTACAGAATCCAGACGGATATGAGATGAATACTAAGCTCGCGTAAGCTCAGCGGAATTCCATACCGTACCAAACAATTGGGCACATATTGTATCAATATAATAAGCAAGAAAGGAATGAAAGGAATCATCAGCAGAGTTCACCCTATTCCACTAAATCCAGTCATTTGAAGGATTCCTCTAGCTGATGTGCAATGCAATTCCAATTGTTCCCGCTTTTCTTTTTTCCTTCCCTTTTTTCCAGGTGCTTTTCCTTTTGCTTCTTCCTTCTTTCCTTTCCTTTCCAATGTATATACATTGTATATTTGTAGCTTTTTGGGCCCATCCATGGACATTCACGGCCATCCCTCCATTGCTCCTCGTGCTAAGATTTGGCGCCTTGCATACTCCCCAGACGACTTGCTGCTCGCTTCGACAAGTGCAGATGGCACCGTCCGCCTTTGGGAAGTCGAAGCTGGCTTGTTTCAGCCCGTGAATCATCCTAACACGTTTTGTCATGGCCTGTCTCGACTTTTCCATTCAGCACTGACTGAATGAATAGTCGCTTATTTGAATTTTTTTTCACTAAGGTTTGGTCGAAACTCCGCGTAATATATATACAGAGTCAATGGCAGGTTAGCACTGGCTTGCCGGTGATGATCCTGCCAAGAAATCACGCAAACTGGGTGAATCTGGCCAAGTTTTGTCTGAGAGCTCTGAATATCAACAGCTTAGCACAAACATTGCAACAAACCTGACAGGTGTGGAGTTTGGCTTGGTCGCCAGATGGGAGCAGGCTCGCGACTGGAGGCTGGCCTGCTGTTGGAGTGTTTCTGTGACAGATGCTTTGCACATGAGCATATACTGACAGCGAAACGGAAGGTCTTTCAGAAGGCATGTTTCTTTCGGAATCACCGAGAAAGAGGGTTTGACTTCTTGGAAGCTACTGGGTACTTGGGTTGTTCTTAATCAATCTTCTAGTATGATCTTAAAAAGTACTCCGTGTGATAGCGTGCCCTTGGTGTTTTAGATGTTGCTTGGGGACATGGTCCACACACAGCGCTCTCACCGACACTTTCTCCTTTCTGTTGCCACATTGTACCCTTTGGTTTATGAAACGCAATTTGCTCCACTATATATGAGCATGCTTAAATAGTTTGCAGCCGCCTAGTATCTTGCACGAGATGCTGTTTGACGATTGGGGTTCTGAAGCCTTGTTTTGAAGAATTCCCCAGTCTACTGCAAGGGAGATGAATTTGAGGAACTCACAATCATTTGAGGAAACCATTCGCATGAGAAGGCCAAATTGGAGATGACAGTTTTTCATAGTTTTTCCAACGATTGGAAGCAGGGATAAGGTGCTTCTTCGGGCAGAAGAATGCTTAGAAAAAAAAATAAGGGGTGCGAAATGGTGCCATAAGAAAGCTATGTATATAGATTGGGCAGCGTTTGGACCACAGTGCGGTGCACTGCGATGATGTATGGCAATATGTGCTGACGTGATGGGTTGCCGGTGGTGATAGTGTTTGTCAGAAGTTTGTCATTTTAAGATTCAAGTGCTTATTAATATGTGCAATGAAGCATAGTGATTGTGATGTGGTACTTTGCTAGGTTTGGTAGTTCAGGTATGTTCAGGTTATGTGTTGGCCGTTCTGCAACCTGCCAGGCTCAGATGCTCGCATTCTGATCTGGGACGCGCAAGAGGTGTCGTGTTGAACCCTACATTCAATGCGAGCTTGATTATTTGCCGTATTGGGAAGAGGAACACACGAATATATCTATATACAAATGAAGATCAGGGATCCTTATTTGATCTTATTTGTTTGATCCGTTTAAACAAACTCTCTTTAAATTAGATCCTAGAAACAAACAAAGGGGTAGCCTTTTTCCTCCTGCTTCTGGCAGCTAGGCAGCTGACGGTGCACAGCGGGTCCAAGAGCTGAGTGCCAGAGCTGCTATGGACCTCACTTTGGACGTTTTTGGTCGAAAAATGCCAGAAGACCAAGCACAGCACTTACCCTCACATCTCCTCCTGGGCAGCCAGCAAGTTGTTTTTTTTAAATGTTTTCTTTCTGAATCCAGAGAAACTTACTTTCGCAGGACCCTGCGTGGGCACAAACAGCAGCAGAAGAAGCCGAGAAGGTATGCTGGGCATGCTTGGTTTCACTTCCACAATTGTACACACCAGTGTTGCAAAGTCGTATTGCTGCAGCTGGTTTGGTTCATGAAAGAGCTCATCATGAACCATGAATGCTTTCAAGGTCTAAGTCATGTCTTGCAGAGAAGAGGTTAAGAGCAACCAGGGCAGCATATGTCGTGAGACGAAGCGAGCAAACCCGTGGACTACCCAATGAGGTCAGGAGCCATCGGCGACATGATTCAGTTGCGGCTAACATCAAGGGACGGTCAAGACTATCACAGAGGACAACAAGTTCAGTGGCCTCACCACACTTGAGGGTGCCAGGAAGCTAATTCTACAAGGAGTTGCACTGCAGGGACCGCACGGGGAAGAAGATTGTGCCACATTGCCAGCAGCATGGGAATGCTTGGCCTGGGAAGCCTGCCAAGGATGTGGCTTCTCCATCGATCCTACTAATTACTAATTACTTCAAAACATAGGAGAGGTTGAATTTTCTTGAAAACCCGCCGCGTTGCAGCTTCAAACAGACAAGCAATTTGCAGCGTCAGCAGTGGATAGTTAATAGGACAGCCGCATCTCAGTAGAGCCTCAGCCTTCCAAGTTTCGGAACATGCTACATTTGGCAACTCCATTGTTCGTTTGGTCTGAGAGAAGTCGGGCATTGTTACTTTCACACACACACACAGAGTTTCGCCGTCCTTCCCTGACACGCCTTGCCATGCCGATCTTGAGATCTGGTGTGATGCGGTTTGCCCGACTTCCAACCCGCATGCCCCTGGTGGGTGAGCCTCGACAACGCTTTGTGCTTGTTGCTGCGTGACTTCTAATTACACAGAGAGGGGTTATACAATTATTGCAATGACGACACTAATACATTGTAGTCGTATATGATTGATTATAATTGTAGATTAAGATAGTATATTATTTCCAATATGTCTTAAACATGTCATTATCATAATCCTTAAGAATATCAATCTGGACTTTGTGGTAACTCTGCCCAAGCTCAGCTGACGCCACAAAGCCATCTTAGATTCACGGCAGCCTCACTTCTTTGCGATGCCAAGTACGCGGCTGCTCCGCTGAGGCTCGAAAAGCGTCAGTGGAACCTTTCTAGAATTGCATTCAATCTAACTTGACAACACCACAATAATATATATAACACATCTTTTTTTGTATATATAATGTATATCACGAAAGCCAGCTGATAGGCTAGGCTGAAGTTTTGGGGAGCGAACGAAGTGGGAAAAGGGGGTGTGAGAGGGCGTGCTACAGGGCCAATTTCGGAGAGCTAACCCAGAGCCTGGTGGGGGAGAGCGAAAAAAAGAGGTGGCCAGGAGGTAGTGAACATGAGTGGTTTTTGGGGTGTTGTGATGCAAGTGATGTAATTGACGGCGATCAGTGCATCATTAGCATCATGAGGGGCTCAGGAGGCAATGCGAACCGTCTTCCTATACCAGGGGTGAGAGTTTATGTCGAGGATAGGAAACAGGGGACAACAGGATGGAAAAGTGGTTGACTCCTCCAGGAAAGGGCGATGTGCGTTTGGTGGCTATTGAACTAGTGATTAGGTGTGAGAGGGAGGTGTGTGTCTCTCAAGACACTGATCTGTGAGGGCCGGAGGGGGATCAGAATGCTGTGGGGAAGGTGGAAGACAGACATAGCGGAGGAGGATGGGTAGGAAAAGAGGGCTTGCAAGAAATCTTGGAGTTGCTTGGGGCTGCGACGCCCGGCAACCATGCGCAATAGTAGGGCACCCCATACTTAAGAGCAGGAGAGAGAACAGTGCTTGGGGGCGCCCTTCTTTACTGGTGGAGAGGCCTAGTTGCCGGACTCAAAAGTCACCCCACATATGGGGTGGGAGTTCATGTGGATGAGACAGGCACAGCGGAGGACGAAAATTTTAGGGTGGGAGTTATGTTGATGCAATAGGGCACCCCATATAGGGTGCGAGCGCATGTAATGATGCCATCTGTTGAGGGCAGGAGAGAGAACAGATTGCAGCGGGCAAGCGCTGAATTGCTAGGGGTGCCACCTTTTAATGGTGAAGAGGCCTAGTTGCCGGACTCCAAAGGGCACCCCCCTATGGCAATGGGGTGGGAATTCATGTGGATGAGGCAGGCACAGCGGAGGCAGAAGGTTTTGAGTTGCTTGGGGGTGCCCCGTTTTACGGGCAGAGAGGCCTAGTTGCCGGACCCACAAGGGCACCCCATATGGGGTGGGAGTTCATATGGATGAGACAAGCACAGCGGAGGACGAATATGTTCTACTAGGGGTGGGAGTTTGACGTTGCCTTCGATCAGCGGGGGTTGTACCCCACATTCCCCACTATAGGTCGTCGGTCGTGGTTTCCAAGACTTTACTTGCTTTGACCTCGAGCCGAGCTCCACGGGGCAACCAACAGAGCTGGGAGTTTCCTCCCATGCCGAATTCCACCCACCATGGACAACACACCATACAAAACCTTCCCGGACTACGGGATGCCCTTTTTCACCTCCACAACGCCCCTGCATCAGGACGAAAAAGGGCACCCCCTCCCAAACCTATGTATTCTACTTTCTATTTCTACCGTTGCCATGTCGACTTCACCACTTCCAGCTACTCTTTGTCCACTCTACCTTCTATTTCCCAATTCTTCACACTCGTCCACTGCGCCATCTTCATGTCTTCTTCCAAAGGCTGGCTTTCGTCCCCTCCCTTCTCAGGTACAATGTGCAGACAGGTTTGTTTAAGACCCCAATGCAAGCAACGGAGGACAAGATAGGCATTTGTTCTGGAACCAAGACTCAGACTCAGCGTGTCGTGAACCTGCTATGTATATATAGTTGAATTTCAAGTCAGGACCATTCTAGTCATGACGTTTTAAACGTCATATTTATTGTTTCTTCAAGAAGGTTGTCTCGATCCTCTTGTGGAAGAAGGCAACTTGAGTGGAACCGGCAAGCTTCACATGTATCGCAAAAGAACTGGACGTCATGAGGCAACTTTTCTGTGCAAGGTCAATCTTCGTTGATTTGTCACGCTCACATTCTGACGTGTTGATTGAGCGCATTTTGCAGCAAAGCTAGCTCCTTCTTTGCAACGCCGATAGAATTGGCGTGTCGATGCATGTGTGCAATGAGCTCCGTGAGGTTCCCTGTCCACACTCTCGATCTAACTTGGCACATTATCACCACATGAGCTGCGTAACAATTGGATCAGCAGCTTATTTTGACTGCCAGACGTAGTCTTTGGGTTTGCTTGGTGTAGCTGTAGGGCCGAAGGGCAGGTGGCGGAGGCTGCCCCGAATGCTTTGCCTAAAGTGCGCACAGGGATGCAAGCTCGTACAGGGCATTCAGGCCGAAGCCTTTCATCCGTCCCCCGTGACATAATTTGATGATATTTTATATCTGTGTAGTGCGTGCTGATTGTTTTTCGATCGGCTTGAGCTACAGACGGGATTGTTTCACGGGGGTTGGATGGAATTCTATGCGACAACTCTTTAGCAGAAAACTTTCATGTACCTTGAGCAGCGAAGGGATGCATGTGCTTGAGATCACTGCTACCAAGATGAGCGTGTGTGCGCTATTGAGAGTCGGGTTCTTGATTGCCCCATGTTGAGCTTGCTCTAGCTTCACCCGATGGCGACCAGGCAAGCGCGCAAGCAGAGAAGCAGGTCCGCAAGTCAATTGGAGTGATATAATTATGATACATCAAGTAAAAAACATTATCGTTGATTGATGCATCATGTCAAACTCCAAGAGCTGAAAGAGAAGAAGTATAAAAGGTTTTGCAAGTTTCTTTTTGACAGAGTCTAGTCCAGCATTTGCCATCGATTGCACCATGATCTATAATTTTGTACTGCCTTCATGTTCTATCCATTGCTAGCAGCTAGCAGGATTCAGACATGGGTAGCTTCATGTCTTGCTGGGGATTCTTCTCACCAGTCTCCATTTGCAGTATGTTGCAATGGTTGGCCTTTGTTGTTGAGGTTCCAATTTGCTTTGTGGCCTCAAAATCTTGCACAGCTACACAGTACACTTGTTGCTCCGGCTTGTGAAATTGTTTCAGGGTCTCACAAAGCCTATCAGATGGGATGATGTGTGGTGTGCGTTTGGATTTGCATTTTGGAAGGGCTGTGCTGCGCATTCGTAGGACTTTGGAGCCCCGCTGCTGTCGCCGATACCTCCACCCATACAGCCAGTCTTGTGGGGCACCAGCATGAAGGCACAGTAGTCACTAGTATCTGTGTTGCTTCCATTGGTGCATTCTGGAATTGCTCAAATTGCTCTCAATACATTCCAAAGCAGGGCTGGGGAGTCTTAAAACTGCTAGTTCTATGGCGTGTGGACCTGTGGATGAAATTGCAGTCATTTCAGCTAAACACGGCTCCAGATGTGTAATTTTTGCAAGCCACTGAGTCAGCACGAAAGGCCCTCGTCAAGACAGAGCGCTCTGGTGGACTCACGCTGACTGATGTGCCCAAACCTGCTATTGGTCCGAATGACGTCCTCATTGAGATCTCCAAGATCCTGGCTTCAAGATGATCAAAGGTCAATCAAAGGTCAAAGGACATGTGTTGCTGTTTTTCTTTTGAGTGTGCACAAGGCTCCTTTGGCTCCTCCTTTTTGACCCCCTATACCTTCGGAAGATCCCTGTCGCATCTCGTAGTCCCAGCCATTGGATGGGCCCCTTTCTGCAATGTGGATATTACAATGCGTGCACAATGCGTTCAAGAGATCACGTGCAGTGCATTTTTGTTGATGCAACATCCTCTTGCTTGGCTCAGTCAAACCAGGCTTCAGCTATATGCTCTCGTAGCCGCGTAGCCCTACTAGATATCAGCCCCCTATTGTTCATTGTTGGTTGTGCACTAATTGTAGAGACACCAGCAACAGTTTACGCAGTATATGCAACTACACACTTGGTTCCGTGCTTAGAAGAAGCATTCCCAAGAACAAATCAGTAAACTTGTTGCTCAGGACAGCCATTTGTGGGACAGATGTGCATATCTACGATTGGAATGACTGGGCAAAGCGCACTATTCCAACACCGATGGTTGTTGGGCACGAGTATTGCGGCACTATCAAAGAGATGGGCCGCTGCCTTAGATTTGGTGAAGGCCCTGCATTTCATTGGGTGGTGAATGTGTTCTCAGATCAGGTCGGGTGCAAACTTCAGTTGAAGCACGGGATCAATTTGTTGAATCAAGTTTGTGAGCTGACAACAGCGCCTATCTCTTGACCTCATATCTAATGTGTTGACACCCTGCTTGAGAAGGAATCTTCACACATATTGGAAAGGGAGATATTCCGCACTGTATGCGCTTGCTCATCAAGGTTCAGAAGTGACTGGCCTCGAAATTGGCCAGAGAGTCACTGGAGAGGGCCACTTGGATGATGTGATTGACAATTTATAGTTTCCCCACTTGTCAATTTCAGAGCTTGGAGAGTGCATGTTTTCGTTTTCACTTGTGAAAAGTGATGGCCCCGCATGTGGCTGCCTTCAAAAGGCCTCCACTTGTGTTTTTACCGATAGTAAACTTACTAGAAACTTTTTGCTAGCAGTACTGCCAGGAGCTAGCGTTGCTCTTTGTTGCTAGTAGCTTGAGGTCACATCACCTGTGGCTTTTGCCGCAATTGCCGAGCTGGGCGGCGACATTTGTGTCGCGAGACCGTCGGAGTTGGAGTAAATCGACCAGGGGCTTTCGCTGAATACTTGTGTCTTCCCGTGCCTCAGCTCGCCAGCTCACCTTCTTTTTCCAACTTGCATGTTGAACCTTGAATCGCAAACTGAACAGGCAAACGGCCCCAGGGAAGCTGTTGCTGTTGATTCCCAAAGTGCCATGCTCAGTCAATCAACGTCTTCAAGCTCAGCGACAATGTGTCGGATGACATTGCCAGCTTTATGGATGCCCTGGGCAATGCAACGCATACAGCTTTGTCCTTCAACTTAGTGGGCGAAGATGTCCTGATCACTGGTGCAGGGCCTATAGGTGTAATGGCCGCCGCTATTTGTCGTCACGTGGGGGCAAGACATGTTGTGGTCACTGACATCAATGACTATCGACTGAACCTTGCGGTGAAGTGTGGTGCTACCAAAGCCCTGAATGTAAGCGGCGGTGATGCGACGGAGAAATTGCGGAAGGTCATGAAGGAACTGAACATGACAGAGGCGGGAGTCACAGACTAAGTGCCCTCAACAGGTACGGATGTCTCGGCATTTCTGAATTTCTTTTTTGCTGCTTTCTCATAGAATGTACAGCTTGGTTTTGGTTTCCTTCCTAATTGCAATATAAGATGATATCCATTGATCTGGAAACGTGAGGATAGTCGAGCGATGTTTACTTTATACCACTAGGCCCCTGTCCTTGCTATTGTTCTCTCGGTTGTTCTGTACCATGAGTCTTCCATTTTCCATCCTGCACAACATTTCAGCTTGAAACTGGCCTGCCTTACGGCGAGGACATCAGTCATTCACCTGAAAGGCAGAAACATGAAAGGCCAAAAGAAGGTATATAAGGGCAATTGTGGTCCTACTTTCTTTTGATTCTATTGGGATTCACTATCAGCTCGCTGCAAGTCACTAGACTCACTAGATCTACTGGGGCCATGTTTGTTTTACTTTCCACTGGCAATCACACTGTTCCTTGCACATTTGCTAACATACAAAGCAGAGAACGCTTGAAGCTGGTGCTCTTGTGGTCTTCGACTCGTTCAAAAACATGTCCCTGAGGGCTTTGATGTTGGCTTGGAGATGTCTGGGGTTCCTAGCGCAGTCCACTCGATGCTGGAAACGTTGAATGTGGGAGCACATGTGGGCTTGCTTGGAATTCCATCCCAGCCCTTCCCCATCAATTGGGACCATGTGGTTTTCAAAGGCCTTGTCATCAAGGGAATCTACGGCCGGGAGATGTTTGAAACCTGGTACAAAATGAGACTCTGCAGCAAGAAGTGTTGGGACTTCTCAGCAGTCCAATGAAGGACAGTGCAGGGATCAACTACTAGGGCCGGCCCCTTCCCTAGTCCTTTTGAGGCACGAAATGACTCAACGCTACAACACAAAGAGATTGAATGGGTTTTGACGAGTCAGCCCAAGGCCAAGAATCAATTGAACCGTTTCCAACACTGGGCCTACTTTGGAAATTCAATGAGAAAGTGGGATTGCTGACTAATTATCATTATCACATATTATCACCAGTAAAGCTGGTCAAGGCTATTTGAGCATCCCAAACCTGGTTTCTCCTGCACACGGCCAAAATAAGGCAAAGCATGCTGGTGGGTGGACTTCAAGAGAAGATTATGCCTGTCATCACGCACAGGCCTGCAGGGCTTTTGGTTCTTGAAATTCTGGGCTACAAGAGCCGAACTGCGGCTGTTGTTGTTTGAGACTGGTCAATATGATTTGCAGCTTCCTAAGCATTTAGCGAAAGTGAAAAGGGCCAAAGGGGCATTGTCCACAACAACGGCCTCTGCAAATGCTAAACTTTGCCACTAGGGCAGATATCCTTTCAAAGATTCAAAAACTTGCTTGCAATCTGCCAGGTATGATGTCGATCAGTTTGACGAGGGCTTTTCAGCCATGCTCTCCGGACAAGCGGGTAAAATCGCAGCTGCCTCAGATTTGTCCAAGCTTGTCAACTGATTGCCTTTTACTGTCGAATGTTTGGCAGCAACAGTATACTCAGTAAGACTCAACTTTCCCACTCAACACCTGAGGTTCTGAACTGGAAATAGCGTTTGTATGCTATGTACCTGTACAAAGTGCTGTTTTGCAGCATGAGAAGCATAGAAGCTGCTTCTTTGCGCTTTCGTGCATGATGAGCTCCAAAAACACAGCAAGATCTGTCAGGCTGTTTGAATTGTTGAAGGCTGACCACGAACAGAGATCGCGACCCTGAAACAAACAACTGGTAAAGCTCAAAGCACCATAGCCCGGAGCCTGAGCATCATTCGCAAAACTGGGCCCATCGTAGAGATTGCAATACCTAAAGCACATTTGGTGCTTTCCTTTGTGCCTTTGGCAAACAAGAGGCATCCTGTCAGTCAGGTTGCGAAAACAGAGTGCTGCAAATTTGCACAGCTTGGAAATAGTAGGATCGTTTCCAAATCTACTTGAACATCTATACTGCAGATTGTATTGCAGTAACTGTCCTGCAAGATGGGACAGGGCAGGGTGTTCCAGACTTCCACGTCGAACCTTAGTCGGCTTACCTTTTTGTCTCAGGAGAAAGCAACTTTGTGATACAACGGCCACGCACAAAAGATCAAACATGGGGTGAGTTAGTGGCTTTCACTTTGGGATTGAGCCACCTTTGCAGTTTGCTATGATTCGGGTTCCTCACTGCCAGGCCTCCCAATTGGCTCAGCCTCTAACCTTTTGGCAGGTGTGACTTCTGATACGACCTGTGAAGTGCACAATCGAAGCCTTGATAAGACCTGTGTACGCATTCTTTTCTTTGTTGTGTTGTTGCAGAGCAGGCACATGAGAAGAGCATCCACGATCTATTCTTCGCGCCGAGCGCCAGGGCCCAAATCAAAAGCGGTACCATGCGGTACCGTATGGTCCGGGTATGGTACAGTAATTACTATGTGCAGTCAGTGGGTCTACCATGCACCAGCCAAACGGGCTAGCTTCCTTGTGATCAGCTTACAATGCTTCCGAGCTGTTCCTTTGAATGCTGTTCTTCGACAAAGGGGCCAGACTGGAAGGGTTCTTCTATGTTTCTGCTACTCCTGACTTGGCCAGGCACTAGCAACCCCAAGCAGATACACAACCATTGAAGGCCTAGAAAATCTTTGACTCGCCAAGTCTGCCGAGTCCCATCATTTAGGACCTTAGGATATCCTTGAAAATCCACTTTGCTTTGGCACTACATCCTGATTCACCCTTGTAATCAGATGGAGCCATTGTAGAGCCAACGAGACAGCACCCGAGGAGTCTCGGATGCTGGTGTCTTGCGGTGCAGAGGGCTCCGTCGCTGTGCGCTTACCCCTGTTGAGTGGCTGACAGTGAGTGGGTGCAGCGGTGGTGTGGTTCGCTTTGTAGTACAAAGCTTTCTCAGGCATGGGCATTTCATGTTCTGATTCTATTTCATTGATAAAAACTCGGATTTGCTTTGGTTCATTTTTCTGCAGTACCTGACACCTGCGACATTGAACAGCACAAGATAATTGGAGGCATTGACAACCCCCTCTTTCTGTACTTTGGCACCCGAAAGTTGATTTTCAAAGACCTTCTGCATTATTTTTTGCGTGATGATGCGCAATTCTTTGCGTGATGCCATTTGTAACTCGACAGGTATGGGATGCTGATAGCGGAAACTTGGATTGTCGACTCATGGGCCATATTGGCACAGCCGCTTGCCTGCACAGTTTTATGGTCTGACCTACAGTACGATGGTATGGTGCCCTTTCAGCTGCAAACACATGCCCGCGCATATATATATACACATTACTGGGCGTGTATATATATATATATATGAAGTCACTTGGACGTCATAAATGTAGAAGCAAGATAAGCATGACTGATCGTGGACCCTCACCCAGATTCCAAGCCCCTTGCTGGAAGTATACTATTTGCATCTATTTGCTATTTCTTAGGATACTGACTGTTGAAGCACTGGCTAACAGGATAAGGTGCAAGCGTATATTTACACTCATGACTCGTCATGACCGTGTTTTGCGATCCCGCTTGTTAGGTTCGAGGGTAGGTGAGTTTTCCTTTTAGTTAGGGAAATGGAAGGGGGTCTTGCCCCCCCGACCCAGAAGAGGCGGCAAGGCTCCAGAACCTTTTGGTGGAGCTGAGCCTCGTAGGTGCACGCCTAGCTGTGAGCCATGGCAGTGAAGTGGTCTTGGCAAAGCAGCTGACGGAGCGCCTTGGTATCGACCACAAGCCCTGGCATACTGAATTTGTCACAGGCCAGGTGCGTGAGGCGGTTCAGATGGTGGATCTGGAAGATAGGCTGGTTGGAACCTCGTCGACGAGGTCAATGCAGAACATCATAGATGCCAAGGCAGTGATGGACAGGGAGAAGAAGAAGTCCCTCGAACCTGTTGAGCCCCTGGTGGTTGTCCTCGTGAAGCCGAAGCGTGGCACCCTGGGGAGGACGGTTCGGTTGAAGAGCGGGCGAATCGCGGCCGAGGACGAGGTGAGCAGCAAGGTCCTGGACAAGCTGGTGGGTGAGCTTGTAAACTACAAGGCGACGGTCCTTGAGGAGGTGAAGAAGTCAATGAACCCAATTCGAGCCAAAGAGGCTCTGCTGGGGAAGTATCGTATCTCAACAATCAGGAGGTATCTGGCGTCCTGGCAGAGGTTCAGAATCTGGGCGGATTCTATGGGGAAGCCAGGTCAGCGACCAAATACAGTGACCCTCGTGGACTACATGTATGCGAGGGAGGAGGAAGGAATGGGTCCATCCATTCCACTGGCAGTCAGCACGGCAGTGGCATGGTTTGAACGGACTGCCGGGACGCCGGAGGAGGAGCAGTTGATGAACCAGGCATTTCCACAGATGGTCATGAAGGAGCTGACAAGGAAGTTGGAGCAGAGTGCACCGCCAGTCCGGAGGGCGCCCCGATGGTTGGGGTGCTTCGTGGCTCCAATGGAGACGCTGGTGATCGATGCTGCAACCCCCTTTGAGGTGAGGGTGTGTGCATTGTTTAAGCTCATCAAGCTGTGGGGTTCCTTGAGATTTGACGATGCAGCGCATCTGAAGACTACGGAGCTCCGCTTTTATGATGGACAGTTGGTTGGGATGATGCATCAGACCAAGACAACTGGTGCTGGCAAACGGGTCCGTGAGCTGCCGATATTCATTGCAAAAGAAGCTTATGTGTTGCATGATGATTGGCTGGCAGTGGGCTATGACCTGGTCAAGCTGAAGATGCCAAGAGATCGTGTGTTTGTCTTCCCGGAAGGGTGCTTCTATGGTACAGCATATGGGACAGCGCCTGTCTCATATGCGGAGGCGGTGGCCGGGAGCTCAAGAGCGTTTACGCTGCTGGAGGGCTACGATGGTGGGTTGATCCCATCAGGATGGGAAAGATTCTGGACAGAGCACAGTGAGCGCGCAACAATGCCCAGCGGACTTGCTGCTTTGGGCGTGGAGAAGTCAAGCAGGGACTTGTTGGGCCGCTGGTGTCCGGAAGGTTCGGACGTTTACGTCCGGACATACAACACGATAGTCAGGAAGATGCAGAGGAAGATCGTGGCAGTGTTGCGAGGGGAGGCCGCCTATGAAGAGCTGGATGAAGGCTCCATTTTGGAGGAGCTCAAGGTGTGGCTTAGAGACAAGTGGACAGTCCCGGAAGACCAGGCCGTGAGTGTGGTAGAGGCATGGAAGGAGAAGTTAGGCGTCAAAGGGAGGCCACCGGCGACATTGCATGTTTCGGACGAGGACACCACGATCTGTGATGGATCTCAGAGCGAGGAGGAGACGGCAGCCCTGCAGCAGGCGGACCCGAAGAAGAGGAAAATGAATGACCCCTTGGAAGAGGAACGAGAGGGGAACTACGTCGTGGTGTACAGGCGAGCCGGTAGGGGTACCCTGCACCGGGTTGGTGTGAAAGGCTGCTGGATGGCCAAGAAGCGTTTCTTTGTGAGGTCAGAGATCCACAAGGAGCTTCCGGAACCGGAAGAGTACACCCTCCGATGCAAGCTGTGTTGGGGCGGGGGAAGCGATCCCCTAAGTGAGTCCACAAGTGACTCGAGAGACGAACTCAGTCTCAGCGATTGAAAAGGAGTCGTCTGAGCCGCATCAAGGGGTAGCTGCATAGGGAGGATAACCTGGGTCGCACCCAGGGAAGGGTTCGTGCCGCAGCACGAGGGAGGGCTAGATCGCATCTAGCGGAAGCCACTGGTAGGAGGTAAAGGCAACCCTGAGCCGAGCGAGCCGCTCAGGCTTGGGGGCGGAGCGCAGCAAGCGCAGTGCCATTACCAGTGGAGGAGAAGGCTGGGCGCACCACAGACCGGTAGAGTTTTTCACATCGCATGTGAACGGAACAGTGCATAGCATGCACGAGGGTGGGCAACGCTGTGTCCATCAGAAGCATCGCATGCTTTGAAACCTGTTCTGGATCAGACAGGCGGGGCGGGGGGCGCTCACCGGTGGGCGCTCGACATGCCGCGTGCAGCCATCTCGGAGGCTGAAGGGAACAAGGCACTGGAACTGGCAGGCACCGACATCAAGTACCTCTTCTCGAGGCATGAGGTGAGTGTTGACAATCAGAAGCTCTTCTTTCACCATGGTGTTACAACATTGGAGAAGCTGTCAAATTTTGCAAAAGATAGGGATGACCTGGCCACAGTCCTCAAGGAGCATTGGGAACTGGATTCAGATAGGTCACTAGAGGAGCGGGTACAAGTGGCGGCAATCACATGTGCCTTCAGCAATGCAAAGACAAGGAGTCAGAGAGCTGCGGAGGTAGACGCAGAGTACGACACGTCTCAGTGGGCCAGGCCGGTGGTGGCAGGGGAATGGGCGGCAATGCGCTCAGCACTGGAGAAGAAGTATGGCCACCTGGAGGATAAAATATATCCCTCGAAAGAATTCGTTGAGAAGAAATTGGCAGAGGTTGAAAGTGGTGAATACCGGGCTGAGGAGCTTACAGAAGTAGTATCAAAAGAAGAAATAGAGCCTGATGGGGTCGTGCCCATTTGGGACTCCAAGGGCCGATTGGCCATGCGCAAGGCTTCGACAAAAGTGCCCGAACCGGCGAACGCTGAAGAACTCAGACGCCGCTTGACGATCTGGAAGAATGCGATGGTCATGATCTCACTGAAGCATTCGAATAGGCATGAGCTGCAGGGAGCCTGGGAGGAGACGATTGAGCAGTACAAGGACTACCTTCTGGGGGACTACGTATATGGGCTCAGTGCAAAGGATGCGGAGGGCCAGACCTTTGCTGCGCCACCATGGAAGTTGATCATCGCATACGAGCGGGCCATCCGGAAGCAAGCGGTGAAGATCACCAACACAGAGGGTAAGCCCCTGACAGTGGCACTCAAGACAGCATGGAAGGATGCAACAGTGAAGGAGAGGAACTTCACGACACCTTTGGCATTGTATGCAAAGAGGCCTACACCGCCATGGAGAGAACAGACGACCAACAAGTGGCAGGCAGTCGAGAAGGGCAGCAAAGGCAAGGAAAAGGGCAAGGCGAAGAAGGGCAAAGGAAGAGGCGGGAGTCCACATTGTGCCACGCATACACCTGAAGGAGATTTGATCTGCTTCAGGTACAACACCCCGGGGGAGAAGTGCAAGATGGCCAAATGCAAATATCGCCATGTGTGCGGAATATGTTTCAGTGAGAAACACCCCCTCTACGAATGCAACGCAAAGAACAGGAAGGAGGCGGCAGCTCCCGACACAGACGGGACAAAGTGAGGGCCTTTGAAAGTCCTCTACGTGTTTTCGGGGAAGAAGCGCAGGAACTCCGTGGCGTGGTTTCTTCGAAAGCTGGCACAACGAAAGGGTGTTCAGGTGGAGATCACTGAGTTGGACATCCAGTCTGATCGTCGATCGGATTTTACAATCCCTTCTGTACAGAAGAAGTGGCTTCAGTTGATTGCTCAAGGCATCTACTATGCTGTTATTGTGACGCCACCCTGTTCTACCTTTTCGAGAGCAGTGTGGGCGAATGATTTGGGGCCTTTCCCATTGAGGAGCTCGACATACCCGAGGGGTTTTCCGTGGAATAGGGCAGAGCGTTTTCACAAGGCTGAATTTGGAACAATTTTAGCTGACTTTTCATTTGAAGCATTGAAGCGTCAGTTTGCATGCAGGCAACGTGTCGGTTTGATGGAGCAACCGGAGGACCTCGGGAGGGCCAAATATGAGAGGGTTCCGGGGCATCAACCGGCGTCTATGTGGCAGTTTGCACAGTTTCAACAGTTGTTGCAGATCCCAGATGTGAAGACAGTGGTATTTGCTCAGTCAGAGTTTGGTACACAGTCACCAAAACCTACAAGATTCCTGATGCGCATGTTTGCACCTCTTCATCCAGCAATGCATTCAGGTATTCCACAGTTTGATGCTCAGGGCTGGTACGAGGGACCTCTTCCTAGGCAATCAGGGGGCGCCCCTCTGATCGGGAAAGCAGGGGGGGTTTTTCGTACAGCAAAGTCAGCAGCATGGCCTCCAGCACTCTGCAAATGGACAGCTGAAGCCATTCTCATCTCCTTCATGCAAGAGTGGAACGGGGGGGATGAGACAAATACTTCAGCATTGAAGAAGAGGAAGCTTGAAGTTGGCCAGGGCGACCAATCGGTGGCGAAGCGACCAAGGAGCGGGCAAGATGCTGGAGGTGGAGTTGATCCGATGAAACCACTGGTTCCGGGGGGGCACGGTCCCCCGAGGGCGTGTAGATGGAAGGGCATGGAGGCACCTTTTCATGATGGAGGAGGTTTGGCGTCCCCGGGGAGATGGCCCCAGGGGGAGAGGAAAGAGTTGGTTGGAAGAGAATGGAGGGCACTGAGGCATAGGATCCTGCTGGCCGCAGTCAGACGTTTGGGGAGTGTTGAGGAGGTCGAGAAGGAAGCTTTCCGGATGGCGAGAGGTGGAGATGCATTCCGACTGGTCCGAGAGGAGGGCTTTTTAGAGGAGATCAGGCAAATGCTGGCTGAGTGTCTGGGCATTCCAAAGCAGGAGCAGCCGGAGGAGGGACAGCCGTTCTTTCTGGACCTCATGAAATGCATCCTGGAGAAGGCAGGGGACCCGGATTGGGAGTTCTTGGAACAGGCGAAGACCGGCTTGCCTTTGGGTATTATCAACGACCTTCCCCGGACACCAGAGATCTTTGAGGAACAGGTGAAGTGGAGCCTCGACGGAGACGATTGGGGCAATGCGGCATGGCAGAAGGACAACTATGCCTCGGCAGCGGAGCATGAGAGGTACCTGACGGAACACCTGGAGCAGGAGGTGGCTGAGGGGCTCATGCTGAAGATGGATGAGGCGGACTTCATAGAGACCTTCGGGAAGGACAGGGCAGTGGCAGCCCTAGCGGTGCTGGTGGAGGATGAGTTGACCGGGAAGAAGAGAGTGATCCATGATGGCACACACGGTGTCATGGTGAACCATCGGATCAAGTGCAAGGACAAGGTCCGAATGCCGGGGCCCAGGGAGAAGCGCGCTCTTCTGGAGGAGTATGAGGCTGGCCGGGTTGCTGTCCTTTCTCTGGTGGGTGACTTCGCAAAGGCTCACCGGAGGTTCAAGTATTGTGTGGAGGAGCAAGGATTCCTGGCTTGCAAGGCTTCCACCAGTTCGAGTACAGTTTATGTGAACAGAGTTGGCACTTTCGGAGTGGCATCGACACCCTACTGGTGGGCAAGGTTGAGTGCAGCGTTGATGAGGCTTGTCTATTGGGTGTTGGGTGGTTTCTTTCCGAACGACATGCTGCTCTACGCAGATGATCTTGAAGTGCTGACGATAGGGCGTCGGGGACGCATCGGTGGTGTGCTGGCCTACTCTGTGATGGCTTCCCTTGGTGCACCGTTCAAGTGGGCAAAGCAGAGGGGTGGCATCGTTACAGAATGGATTGGGCTTACCACGGATTACAGTGCCTTCTCCATGGGCCTTTCCTTGAGGAGAGCGAGCTGGCTTGTTGATTGGATCGGCTCCTTGAGGGAGAGAAAAGAGGTCACTTTCCGTGAGTTTTCAGCTGGACTTGGGAGGCTGGGCTTTTCAGCTTTGGCGCTGCCGTGGGAGAAGCCCCTGCTCGGGCCTTTGTACGCCTGGGCCTCAGCGATCCAAGCCAACAAGGGTGCAATGACCATCCCTTGGGCTGTGCAATTCATTCTGGACTGGGTGGCACAGAGGCTCAAGACCGGGGGTCACATGGAGGTAGTCAGAAAGCCTCCAGCATCGGGTTCCGGCACAGTGAGGATCTGGACGGACGCGAAAGCAACAGAGCAGGCAGCATGGGTCGGAGGCTGGCTTGAGGAGTGCGAGGACAGCATGAAGTGTCGCTGGTTTTCGCTACAGGTGACAGAAGTGAGCGCCCCCTGGCTGCTTTACAGGGGCAAAAACCCCAAGAGAGTGATTGCAGCATTGGAGCTTCTGGCGACCCTCATTGCCCTGAAGTTGTGGTTGAAGAAGGCTGGCGATACAGCCGAGGTGAGGGCTGAAGCGTTCACCGACAACAAGGGCAATTCCTTTATACTCCAGAAAGGCCTTTCCACGAAGTACCCAATCACCATTTTGGTGATTGAGGTGGCAGAGACACTGCGAAGGTGCGACGCCTTTGCTACGCTCACGTGGGTGAGAAGGGATGATAACACTTTGGCGGACGCCTTGACGAATGAGGACTTCAGTTCATTTGATCCCCAAAGAAGGGAGGCAGTGACAGAAGAGGTGTTGAAGTGGCATGTCATGGACGACCTACTGCAAAGCAGTGAGAAGCTCTTCAACGAGATCAAGGACCACAAGATGAAGAAGAACAAAGAGAAGCCGAAGTTGGACCACACCAAGAGGAAGGCCAAGAAATACTTCAGTCGTTGGAAATCCTGACTGAGAGTGGGAAGTCTGCGCCTGGGAAGCTCCCAGGTGCAGCCGGCAGGAGTAT